TCTAAGACACCTGATTGGTTTAATAAAGAGTTGAAAGGCCAATAGCTGAATGGTCAATAGCTAGGCAGGAGAGGTTAGATGGGACTTCCTGGAAGAGATAGGAACTCTGGTTAGAATCCAGTATGGGAGATTTCGCCAGCGAGACATGAAGGGAGACAGAAGTACAGAATGGGGGAGGGGTAGAGAGCTACGAGGCAGAACATAGGTTAATAGAGACAGGCTAATTTTAAGTTATAAAAGCTAGTTTGGGAACAAGCCTAAGCTGAAAGCCAAGCTTTTATAATAAATAATAAGTGTCCATGTCATTATTTGGTGTTCCAAAGAAAGTCCAACCAGAGAGATCTCTTACAGAGCCAGGCAAACTGAAACTGAACGGGAAAGAGTCAAGGAGAAGTCGAGCCCAACAGATCAGTCCTATAATCACAAGAGCAAGTGGCACATCCCAGATTTGTCTCTGAGGGAGTTTTGAGACTGGGTTAACGGAGGTGGACTGGGGTCCAGGACAATATAGACAAGAAAGAAGCAAGCCAGCAGGACACTGGCATTCGCCTTTCTGCTTTCTGCCTGGGTGAGCTGCCTCGGCTCCTGCTCCCGGTGACTTTCCTGCCAGGACGGTTTGCATCATCCAGCCGTGAGCCAATGTAAGTGCTTTCTCTTCTCTTGCTTGTATCAAGTATTTTGTTATTACAGCAAAACACGTAACTAAAAAGCAGACCCACTTGAGCCTGGGAAGGTGTATCGTTAGCTGACCTTTGCGTTTTCCAAAGTGCTCTGGTGCTAAATTCACCAGTCTGCTCTACAGAGCTCATCCTCACCGGAAACAGCAAGTAACTGACCTTTCAGCCTTTGTTTCATACATTAAATGATGCTTTCACATTCTTTTGACAGTTCTGGAGGGTCTACCCATCCGAGGGTGTTTCCGAGGACCCTTGAATCACCTGGCATATTCTCTGTATTCTCTGGGTTCCTTGTGCCCAAATTCCATTTGTCTTCCTATCTACATCTGAGCTATTAAATCTCAATGAGTAATCTGAGCTTGACCAGTCAGTTTAAGGGTGTACTTTCTGATAATCACACCTAGACCTTCACACAAAGTCCTTAGGCAGTTTGTTTAGGAGATGCCCCCACCGAATAATCGGACAGAGATCTCTGCATAAAAGCATGAGACATTTTGTGTGGGAAGCATGTTATCATTAGCTAATTCAATGTGTGCCTTGGTATGTGCAGTCCCCTCAACCTTTTCCTTCAGAGGTTTGAGACAGTAACTCGGTGTGGCCTTGTGGGTAGCTAAAATGATGGCTTCTGTGTCCATGTGACCCCCAGTTAGAGGAGCTGTTTGGGGAGGTTTAGGAGGTGGAGCCTCGCTGGAGGAAGTGTGTCACTGGAGGTGGCTTTGGGAGTACAAAGCCTCTCCTGTTTCCAGTTTTCTCTCGCTGCTTCCTGTCTGTGTTTGAAGATGCTTGCTCTCAGCTTCTGTTCCTGCCCCAAGGCCTGCTGTCAGGTTTGCTGTCATCATGGATGCTCATCCCTCTGGAAGCCCAAATACACCCTTCCTTCTACAAATTGCCTTGGTCATGCTGTTTTATCACAGTAACAGAAAAGGAACCAATACAGGCATCAAATTAGGTGTGTGGTCAGGATGACCTTGACAAGGTTCCTCTGTCACAGTTCTTCAAGCGTGAAGATTGAAGATGTGTCGCCACACCTAGCTGGAAGTCTTCCACTTGATTCACGCTTTCACCGCACAACCACTCATTTTCCCGCTGCTTACTTTGCTTTTTGTCTCTATTGTTAAGTCTTGTTTTATGGATTTTTAATCTATTCTTGACTGTCTTAAATCTGATATATAAAAGTAAGAGTGTCTGATAGGAATGGGCAGAGATAAGGACACGTAAATCACCAAACTGATCCAAACTGATCTTCAAGGACACAGTCTACCCTGACTGATGGCCAATTTCAGGGTGGGCTAGCTACTGGTTATGCTGAGCTATGGCAAGCTGCTGCCTCCATGGGCAGAAGGTTATGTTCCTCTGTATTCCAGGGGCACTGAACAGAGGTGGAAGACTGTGTTCATCTGTATTCCAGGAGCCCCACCTGCATGTGGAAAGGTGTGTTCTTATGTATTTCAGGGTATTAATCAGGGTGTTTTCCTATGTTTGGTTCAGAAATAGAAGCCAAGACACCATTCACAGTCACATGCTCCGTCTATGTCACGAGACTCAGTTCTTCTAGGTCAAGCCTCCTATGGAAAGCTGCAAGCATCCTGATTCTTACCCTCACTTGGATAAAGTAAGAATTTTGAGTCAGAACCAGGCGGTGGTGCCATATGCCTTTAATTCCAGCACTCAGGAAGCAGAGGCAGGTGGATCTCTGTGAGTTTGAGGCCACCCTGGTCTACAAGAGGTAGTTCCAGGATAGGCTCCCACACTACAGAGAAACCTTGTCTCAGGAAAAAAAAAAAAGAATTTTGAGTCAGAATACCAATGGTCAGTCTGTAGGCTGTGACTCCTTGCAATCACATGTCACATATAATGTATATCAGATACTTGCATTGCAATTCGTAACAGTATCAAAGTTACAGTTGTGAAGTAGCAGTGAAATAATTTTATGGTTGTGGATCACTACAACATGAGAAATTATATGAAAATGTTGTAGAATTGGGAAGGTTGAGAATCACTACTATAGAACTGTTGATCTGTTTTTAAAAGTCAATAAATTATTATACGTTTAAGAAAAGCTGAATGGGGGCATAGTGGTATATACTTTTTAATTATGGTGATTTGGGAGTGGAGGCCGGTGGATCCAGAGTTCAAGGCCAGTATCTGTTATTGAGTTTGAGGCCAGCCTGAGCTACATGGGATTCCATCTTGAAGAAGGGAAGAATGAGTGAGAAAAGGAAAAAGAACCATGAAAAGAGTGGAAGTTCAGAATAATTAGAAGACTATGACCTCAGAGTCAATAATCACTCCCTACTGTTTTGGAGACAGCGTCTTGTTGTTGCCCTGGCTGGTCTCAGTCTCACTGTTGGCCCGAACTGCTCTCAAGCGTGTAACCTTCCAGCCTGTGCACTGGGGCCCTGGCTGTACAATGCCACACCTTGTTAACTGCTTGTTTAGCTGGCTTGAGGAAGTCTCCTATCACAGAAGCCCATGTTCCTTCCATGTTTGTCTTTCACGTGGCTCTACCTAACATTCCAGGCAAGTCACCGCTGTCTTCAGAGATGTGTTGCTCTGTTCTGTGTGCAGCAGAGCAGCAATCCCCAGCACGAAAGGAAGGACAGCAGGGGTTTGGACGTGGTTTGGCCCTTCAAATCACACGTCAGAAATCTGGCTGGCCTTGCACTGATGATGTTCACTTTGGATGCGCATAACTGAAGGAGTGGGCAGTTTCACAATGAAGATGCTGCCATGTGTCTCTCATTCTGGCACAAGCCCATTTGTTACCTTGCCTTGAGAGGAAACAGAAAAGGAACCAATACAGGCATCAAATTAGGTGTGTGGTCAGGATGACCTTGACAAGGTTCCTCTGTCACAGCTCTTCAAGCGTGAAGATTGAAGATGTGTCGCCACACCTAGCTGGAAGTCTTCCACTTGATTCACGCTTTCACCGCACAACCACTCATTTTATAATAAAAAATAGGAACCAAAAAAAAACTAAATAAAAATAAAAATAGTCCTTACAAAACTTTCCAGAATTATATGAAGTAGGCCCAACAACTGAAGTAAAGGAGGTCTTGTTTGTTCCCCTTCCCAACCCATTTTCTTTTAATTCACTCAAATATGAATAAGGGAATTTAATTAAAAAATTAAAATGTGCACCTGATGGAGAGTATCCAGTCTGTGGTTAGAAGTTTTCAGAGCGCTGTAGAAAACAAGGTAAAACTTGTTAGAACCCAGAGTTCTCCAGAGAAAATTCGTGGGCCCAGAAATGAAAGAAGGACGTAGTTCCCGTCCTCTCTGAAGTGGGCATTGAAGAAGGGTCACTGAAAAAAGCCAATGCTCGTGTAGGCTAAGAAAGAGGCTGTGAGCCTTCCCCACAGGAGACCCCATCACTCAATGGCCCATCCTCTCACTGAGGTCAGGACCTCTTGCCTCTCCATCCAGTGTGTGCCACCACACTGAGTAATGCCCAAGCTCAGTGTTTGACAGTGCTGAATCGCCTGAAGAAAAAAGAGCTGACCATAACACGGCTTAGTGCTGGGACCAAGTAGGTGCTCTTCAAATATCTGTTGGCTATGTGAATCAATAAATAGTAAGAAAGTGAACAATTGCGTGTGTGTGTGTGTGTGCGTGCATGTGTGTGTACGTGTGTGTGTGTCTTTCTGTGTCTACATGTGTGTCTTTCTGTGTCTGCATGGGAGTGTGCACGTGTGTGTCTGTGTGTTTGACTGGGGTTATCCCTGACTGGGTTTGTCTCTGCTAATGGAGCCCCTGCTCCTCTGGGTCTCCTTCCTCATCCACCCTATCCCCTAACCTAATTGTGATGGTCTGAAACTCACCTAAAGTGTGGGTAGGCACACAGGCCTTATGGAGAGGGTCCCTAGAGTCTCTCCTGGTGGGAAAGAGAAATCTGCCCAAACGCAGTTCATGTTTCAGCAACTTCCTCTGAGGCAAAGCCAAGACTATGAATTGAGCACCTGCTTCGGTGGAACATGGCTCTACTTGGGTTGCTTCCACCCAGTTTAGAGCTAACAATAGTAACAGGAAAGTTTCCAGGGCAACCAGGACCACTTCCAACATCTCCATGCCAGGCTGCATGGGGTCCCCCTCCTTTGGGGAGCCTGATGCTTACACGGGGATTGGTTCTCTGTTGCAGGTGTCTCACTGCTACAGGCCGAGTCCTCGGAAAGGGCCCTCTTCCTGGAGCTTGGTTTCAAATACATTGTATCATGTGGCAGACCAGCTGGTTTCAGTCTTGAACCAGGTCTTTTGACTCCTCCCAGAAACCGACCAACTTGTGAGCAGGAAATCCTGCCCCTCCCCAAAGAGTGAGAAACCACAGAGGAAGAGAGATGAGACAGAAGGATAGAAAGGAGAAGAAGAGAGAGGAGCAATAGGAAATAGGCAGCCAATTAAAAGGAGGAGCCGCATTTATCTGAAGCCTCAAGGTAAGACTTTATGAAACTGTATGTTGTACGTGTTACTATCACCATTCAGGGCTTGACACACAGTAGGGCCTCAAACACATGCACGTGCATGTACACACACACAGACACACACACACACACACACACACACCTCCCAAAAATAGTGGGTCTATTAAAACAGGATAGCGGGTCTGAAGAGAAACCAACTTCAATGTCAATTTCAATTGTTGGTCAAAAAAAGCAGTAAAAACACTGGAGGAGTTTTCGGGGGTGGGAGGGCTGAGATAAAATGCAGATGGAATAAGTCATCCGCTGCCGGCACCCAGAGCAGCCTGATCGTTTGGGAACAGACCATAGGTCGGAATAAAGAGTTGCTAAGGCAGTGGGGACTCAAAGCATCCGCGTGTTCTTTTAGAGTCGCACAAAGCTAGCCGGGCATCAGCACTTCTGAACTGATGACAGACACAAGGGCCATGCCGCATCTCCTCTGGAGGCTTGTGGAAAGGGTTGCGCTGTCCCACGCAGCCAGCCCACTGGGCCTCAGTGCCAGTGGCCTGAGGTCTGAGCCGTGAGGACCGATGTTCCATGGCCTCTCAGCTTCTCCTGAAAGCCCAGTCCAGCCTCTGCTTAGGATGCTAACCCAAGGCATCACACAGCCCTGCTCGGAGAGTGTCCCAAGGTACTTCCTTCACTCCAGGGAGTTTAGAGAACCCCTAAGAGGAAAAAGAAATGTCCTCTCACTTCACAGGTTCCCATACGCCCTGGCCATCACGTACCAGCCAGTCCTCAGGGCTTAGGTTACTGCTCCAATCACTTGTTGGGAGGGGGGGAGGCATGGGAGGAGTTCAGACTACCTAAGTGTTTCAGAAAACATCTAAACAGGGCATCATTGTTTCCACAGCAGTTGGCTTTTTCAAAGGGCTGTTCTCCCAACTTTTTCAGAAGTGTAACAGAATCTGACACATTTTATAACTTGTGTGTGTGTTATGCCTGTGTATGTTGTATTATGCTGCTGTATGTAACGTGTGTAGTAGATGACGTATGTGTTATATGTTAGTGTAGGGGTGTCTGCATGCTGAATGTTAGTATGTGTATAGTGTGGCATATATGTGTGGGTGGTGTCTGTGATATGTGTATGCCTTTAGTGACATATTTCTCTCTGGCATTTGTGAATCCAAAGCTATAAACACGGTGGGAGAGGTAAGGAGAGATGGGGCAATTTCCCTTTTGCTTGCTTATTAAGCATTTAAAGGAATTACCACTCTCTCTTTAGCATTTTCTAAAAACAAAATAAAATAAAACCTTGCCTTTTTCTTAATACTCATCTTTGTAAAGCTAAAACTGCCTGCGTCCAATTCTGTTTGGGAACAAACCTTGAAGGTAATCTAATTTAATTCCTCCTTTTTGCCAAGGAAGGCAATGGGAGCCAAGACAGGGCAGGGCCTTACTGAAGGCTGCATCTGTGCCTGTGGCAGAAGGGCAACTGGACCTCAGTTATTCTCACTGAGGATCTGTCAAAACATCACCCAAAATTCACATGTCCCCAGACCTTGTAAATACTGCATCTGCTGGGGTGGGGTGGGGGTAAGAGACACAGTTATAATAAGTAAATAATCTCAGCTGGCAAGAATAGGAGAACGAGATTTACTAATGTGAGTTTTTCTGAGGCCTGTTTCATAACTGTTTGTACACCAGAGGATAGAAATGGACAGGAAGCGGCTTGTCATTTGGGAGCTAGAACAAACCCATTCTTGTCACTGAACCAGCATTTAGTGTCTCGCCCCTCTGTGACCTTCAAATTACCCTCATTTTATAACATTTTGAGTTGTCTTGGCTTTTCAGAGGGAGGAAGACGCTGTTGCTTCTATTGGCACGGCCTGTTTCACGTGCCTCCCTAGCAAGGACAGTGATAACCAAGGGGCTTAACCACTCCTCCCTTGCACTGGCTGCTTCATTCAATCTACTCCTCAGTCTCTAGACGCCTGCTCTGCACCCACAGGTGGGAATGCCTTTCTCCCAGTTTCACACCCAGAAATCACAGCCTTAGCTCCAGGGACACCTCCTCCCAGAGATACCGTCTCATACCCTGGGCTGGCATGAGCCGCTGTGCCCTCTCTGAGGGCTCCTGTTAAGATTCTGTGCTTGGACACACTGACACACCTCCATGACTCTGGACTATAATGTACTTTGGAGCGGGCACCATACAGCACAGTCTTTATATTCCCATCACCAAGTGGTTCCAGAAAGATCTTAGGGTTCAAAAAATGTTTCAACAAAAACAACAATTAAAATGGAAGAGGCCTGGGGCAGGCACACTCAGTTGTTGGGGTACTTGCCTGGTGTGCATAAAGCCCTAGGTTTGATCCCCGTCACAGCACAAAGGGGTACATGTATGCCTGTAATTCTAGCACTTGAGAAGTAGAGGCAAGAGGGTCAGAACTTCAAAGTCATCTTTGGCTACATAGCAAACTCCAGTCAGCCTGAACTAGAGACGCCTTTTTTTTTTTCTTCCACTGGTGCTATTGTATCACCGTCTCCTTCCCGGGCTTTTGATTCATGGGCCCCTTGAGCATATTTGCCCTCCCTCTGGTCCTGGAGAAGCATTCAGAAAAGATCACTCAGGATTAAGAGTGACATCTTGAACGAGTATTTCTACCTCCTTACAAAAATACTCTGGTGACCGGAGAAGAATGCTCCTGCTGAACCTCAAGGGTGGGGACAGAGATAATAGCAGCTGAGAAATGTCAACACCCTTTCCAAAGATGGCCTGAGCCTGGGAAGCCCAGACCCTCATGAAGCAAAAGTGTCACAAAGCCTCAGGAGAGACATGGGGAGATGCTATCCACCCCTGGGAGACACTCGCAAGAGGAACAAACCCTGAAACACCAACCAGAAGTACAAACAGTGGGATTAGATTGAACTCTGCATGAAGGATGAAGTTACCAGCCCCCTTTCCTGGCTCTGCTCCTGAAATAAGAACAGTCTGTCGTGTGTGCCTTTGCCTACTTACCCATCCCATAGTAGGCAATGAACGAAGGTCAGCCCTGCAGGAAAAACCCAGTGAAAGAGAAAAGTACAAGAGGCTTTGGCACATGGGGTCTCCCTGTGGAACTGCCTGTCACCCTTACTACCCCACAGCAATGTAACAATGAACGGGCAAACCTAGTCAGACCAGGTCAGAGAACACTGGTGCTACCGGAAGTGATCTCTGTGGAGGTCTGCCATGTCCTAGGTTTTCATCCTACCTTGGCTATTGCCACCATCACTCTGACATTAGGGAAGACAGAACATTAACAGATGAGGACCAAAAGGACAAGAAAAAGCTTCTTGAAGCAAAAAAAAAAATAGTACAACTGTAAAATTTTAAATTACTACCATGGGACTGGGGAGATGGGCAGAGAGGTCTTGCTGTGCAGACAGGAGAACCTGAGTTCAATTCCCAGCATAACGTTAAGAGCTGGGCACCGTAGCATGTGCCCAAATCTCGGTGTTGAAAAGCCTGAAAGAGACAGGTCCCTAGATCCCTCTGACTGGCCAGCCTAGTTGTATCGGAGAGCTTCTAGTTCAGTGAAAGAACCTGTCTCAAACACTGAGGTGGAGAGCAATGAGGAAAGCCATCGGGAGTCGATCTCTGAATTCCACAGCACATGCCTGTAGACCCACCCACGTGTATACACACACACACACACACACATATACACACACACATGTATATATATGCCCAACCACATATATACACTCCTGCCCACATTATGTACACACTCCCATAATCACACACACAATTATAATGAAACACAGAAGATAAAATTATGAAATTCTCCAAGAAAGAAAGGAAATGGGGGGAGATAAATATAAAATATCAACCTAGAATCTCTGACACCTTCTAATAACAATGAGAGAGAGAGAGAGAGAGAGAGAGAGAGAGAGAGAGAGAGAAAGCGAGAACAAGAGAGAGAAAGCGAGAACAAGAGAGAGAGCAGAGAAAATGGAAGAGGATCCACTAACCAAGAAATACTTTCTCCAAAGTTTCCTATGGCAAGTGAACAGTCAGGAGGGTACTCAATGTTCTCAAAGCCCCCTACAAAACAGAAACCAAACCCCACCAAACAGAACACTGGAACTGTTAGACCCCCAGGAGTGAATGGAACCAAGAAGTTCTAAAGAGAGAAACAGCCCACGATACAACAGCTAGGATCAACACTGGATCTAACACCGCTAGCTAGACACTGACAGTGTCCTCCAGATGGGGACAGTATCGTCTCCATCTCCAACCTAGAGTTTCTTGCTCAGCTAAATGCAATGAAGGGGAGTTGGCACCAGGGTAGGGATGATGGGAACTGCGACATTAGCCGAGAACAGAAGCTTCAGGCTGCACAGCAATGTTACGATGTAAACTACTACTCCCCTACTCAGAGTCCTTGTTACACACACACACACACACACACACACACACACACACACACACACACAATCCTTCGGCATCCTCAGGAGTACACCAAGAAAGAGAAACACAGGGACTCCCAGATGTCTGCACAGAGAGGTCCCCACATCGCCAAGCTGTAAAGCTCTGTTCGGGCCGGAAGAGAGGAGAAGTGGGCTTACTACGTGCTACCTGTTTGCTTGGCTTGTAGTTCTTATCTGAGGATCTGGAGGTCATGAGCAACTAAGAAAGCAGAGAAATAAGGATGGGGATGTTTGTTAACTCCCAAGGGAAGGCAAAGGACACAAGAAACAAAATGCAACCGCAGCCCTGGTGTGGCCTTGGCATGCCCTGATAACATGAACGCTGACTGACAATCCCATGGGGACTGTGAAGCTATAGTATCAGGGTCTAGAAGACACCAGATGAAGGTGTGATTAGGGGGGAGGGAAGGTTTCTTATTGGAAATCAGTAACTTCTAAGTTTGTAAAATTAAAAAATACTTAAAAGAATATTGTTTAACAAACGTATAACTGAACCCTTCTGGGGACAGAAACTGTGATAAGTTTTAAAAGTTATTGTCTGTGAGGAGGACTATGGC